GTAGAGACCCACAACATCGTTATACATACATACCCCTACACTAGCGTCATTCTTTCGAGCTACACACCATGGTAAAACGGCGACATACCATCGTTATCAGGCTACTCTCGCCATGTACATTAAGCTATAAGAATTGACTTTCACATTGTGCGAGTTCATTGGAGTACTATTTTATACCTCGAGAAATGAATTATACAATTCCATTCAATTTCATTCAATTTCATGAGTGTAAGTATGCTCAGTTGCTCTTCAGGAACATCTTTTGTAGTTTGGTTACAACAAATAGATTCAAATAATATGATCATTAGATGAAAAAGGTTTCTTAAGAACTACCTCAAGATGTCAGTCATCTTGACAGCGCGTTGTAATACATTTACATCAAGTACAAGACGTCAAAATGGCCAACACAATAAAAGCGACGGGAAAGATTTTCTAAGTTGTTCATGAACCTGAACGATTCAAAATGTAAGTCATCATTGATCAATTGGTCGATCATTGAAAGGTGATTATAAAGATGTGTCAAATAGATACTAAGATAAATTTATAGTTTGCTGCAGACTGTCACTTGTCAGTCTGGGCTTGGATCAAGGCAATCAGTTCGGATGTGCATTTCTTCATATTGTTCATTAGGATTAGTCGTAGCAAGGATATTCTTCACCGGGCGTTCATTCAAACTCTCTGATAATGCTAAGGGTAAGTAAAATCGCTTCTGTATTTATTCATACAACGGAATTTCCGAGGAATTGCCCAAGAACGTGTAAGTAGTCTGTCAGCGTTTCCGTCATTTGAAGAATACAATCTGTGTCAAAGTGTGCGGTTCATACACTTATGAAAGAAAAATAATTAACAAATTATATAAGGATAATACTTTTTGTTTCAACCAACCAACCAAACGAACAAACAACCCGACCGACCAATCATCCAACCATCCAACCAACCAAAGGTAAAAAAAAGCATCTGCAGGTCTTCGAACTTTCTTCCACATTAAGGAATGAAGAACACTTTCAGAGACAAGCTCCCAGAAGCATCTAGTCTCTTCTAATGTCCATGGCATCAGCAACCATGTGTGTTTTTTAGACAGTTCCTCTCAGACTTGAGTAATTAAAATGTCAATTCCTATATGACATCATTATCCAAAAGCACATCGCCCACAAGATTACCCCAAAGGACACTTCGGTCACATGTTGTTGTTTTTCTGAAATACATCGCCCCTTTTTCTAGTCTATTTTCATAAAATCGTTTGTTAATGTACATGTTTATTAATCAATATACAAATATAGCAAGTTCCTCCTGCAAATACTACGAAACTAAATCTTTAGAAGATTGAAGAAATGTAGGAATGCGGGTCCCTCTTTGCGAAATGAAGTGCCAACGGGAACAGTGAATACAGGAGTATTGGCGTCTTTATTCTGACCTCGCTAACTACATGGAGTGTGTTTTGTGAGATTACGAAATTAGATCCACGGGATCTGAGGAAAAAAGTTCCTCTGAATATCATCTGGACTATATTTTTTCTGATTGCATTAAATGCCCCTGAACTATGTTTAAAATGATTTTGCTTTGTGGACTTTGTTTTAGTAGTTTATGGATAAGGGGGACATGCATAATATTTCATTATGACGATATGGCGACTGTTTCAGCTTAATATATGCATCCAATAATAAAGACTATGAGAATCTGCTCATGTTCCTTATGCACGTATGCTGTTGGCATGACTCGTCTGGTAGGTAATCCTAGCGGTGGGGTGGCTCAGTGGATAAAGCATTCACTCGTTACAGCGAAGGACCAGGTTCGATACCCACATTGGTGCAATGGGCGAAGCCCATTTTTGGTGTTCCCCTCATGAATATAACTGTAACATTTCTAAAAACGGCATAAAACCACTCTTACTCACTCTATATTGTGCAACTTTAATCATAACCATAATCTTGGATTCGAACCAATGATCACTGAGTCATAAAACGGTTCATTAGAATTATTGCGACCAATGCAAATTACCCGCTATTCATTTCTCGTAACTGTCCAGTTAATACCTACAGTTATTGTTTGCGACAACGCCACCGTGAAGTAATTACACTGCAGTGCAAGATATCTTAGTTCTGTAAGGTTGCCGTGGATATTTTTAGCACAACTAAATCAATGTTTATTGGGCTAATAAGGAATGTTATGGGACTATCATGTTGTCATCGTTTGAAAAGTATAGGGCTTGCATCTACAGTTTTCAAATAATTTGGCTTTCAGTTATTTCAACTTTTTAGCCACATCAAAGGCGTTATTAGTTCTGCGGATATTCCCGGTAGTACCTTAAACACGAAGCGAATTTTTGCGGTCGTTCAGCTAATTATTCGCATGATTTCTGCTGTAACTCTTCGGACTTATTACCAAAAAATGTAAGGCAAATTCCCGGCGAACTGTACATGTACGTACATCATCCAAGGAGATGGCTCTTCCTCTGAATCACACACAGGTAGCACAGGTATCTCGATTATCCACCGAAACAGATTCGGCATTTACTCCAGTAGTGGTGAAAATTATGTAAATGAATCACAGAAAAGCAGAGATGAGATCAGGTGTTCGCGAAAAGATTAAGTATATCCTTCTCTACTGTTAGCATCACACAATTTGTATAAAAAACATCAGTGTTTGTTGCCTGTAAACATTAATGTGTGACGACTTAAACATTACTACACCCAGGCACATTCCAATATGCAAATATCATGGACATGATGAAGGAGCTCAATAAGATTCAGGTTCCTGAACATTGTTTCACTTACAGGCAATTGTTCAATAAATTATTCAAGAAGGATAACTTTAATTAATATATAGCAAGGATATCCAAAACAAATGCTCTGTTGTATTCTCCACTGGACGACATCAGGCATGAACCTGAATGTAGACAATATTATAAAATCGATTTTTTTTTTATAAACAATTGATTGCCTTTCAAACTCATGATTTTTAGTAACTCATTATTTACTTTGTGTTTTTTGTGAAGTTCTTTTTTAGGGTACTCGATATGTCGAAATCTTAATTTCTAGAATTAGCTTTTTTCATCATATTGCTTTTCTTAACCTGATATGTCTATATTTACTGACACCTTAAAGCAATCTATATAAAAGTGTAATGTTATTGTCACAATTCAGCAATAACTTCATGTAATTGATTATACCTTCATCTCACCACGTATCCAGTTTCTAAGTTTTACAATTTATTTCTGCTTATAAAAGAATAAAATGACATTATTATTTTTAAAACTGTTGAAATAAAGGGTTAGCGCCATGTTCCTGAGTACGTCTGGATGTGTTGTCAGGGACAGACACAAGCGTCGCTTACAGATTGCATCGAACAACTCCTTGAAGACACATGGGAGGCTCAACTTTCTCAGAAATTTGTGTTAGACTGGAAAAAGCGAATGGAACAATTTCTGGGACAAATTTTGTAATTACCTAGGTCTTCACAGACATGACAGTACAGATTCCAGAACCAATGGATTCATCATTGTAATTGTAATTTTTTGTAAAAATTCCCACTTCGAATCCTTTCATATGCCGCGATTGTAATATGGTACTAGGCATTTACATTTTATTGTACTATGACATCCAGCTCACCATACTGATCGCACACTTCACCCACCATTTAATGCCCGTAACATGCCGCCCATCCAAAAATAATAAAAACGAAAAAACCCTTTCCATTTTCATAAGAAATATCGATTGTACAATTCCGACCACATCGTGAGGAGATGTTTATGAATCACTATCAAATATGTTCTGTATACATCAGGTCACCCAATCAAGCACTGTCTACACTAAGTCACCCAATCAAGTACTGTCTTTACCAGGTCACCCAATCAAATACTATCTACACCAGGCCATCCAATCAAGTACTGTCTACACCAGATCACCCAATCAAGTACTGTCATCACCAGGTCATCCAATCACTTAATGTCTACACAAGGTCACCCAATCAGGTACTGTCTTTACCAGGTCAACCAATCAAGTACTGTCTTTACCAGGTCACCCAATCAAGTACTATCTACACCAGGTCATCTAATCACGCACTGTCTACACAAGGTCAACCAATCAAGTACTGTCTACACCAGGTCACCCAATCGGCTACTGTCTACACCAGGTCACCCAATCAAGTACTGTCTTCACCAGGTCATCCAATCAAGTACTGTCTACACCAGGTCAACCAATCAAGTACTGTCTACACCAGGTCTTCCAATCAGGTACTGTCTTTACCAGGTCACCCAATCAAGTACTATCTACACCAGGTCATCTAATCACGCACTGTCTACACCACGTCAACCAATCAAGTACTGTCTACATCAGGTCACCCAATCGGCTACTGTCTACACCAGGTCAACTAAATACGTACTGTCTACGCTAGGTCACCCAATCAAGTACTATCTACACCAGGTCAACCAATCAAGTACTGTCTGCACAAGGTCAACCAATCAAGTACTGTCTACACCAGGTCACCCGACCAAGTACTGTCTACAACTGGTCACCCGACCAAGTACTGTCTACACCAGGTCACCCAGCCAAGTACTGTCTACACCAGGTCACCCTGCCAAGTACTGTCTACACCAGGTCATCCTGCCAAGTACTGTCTACATCAGGTCACCCTGCCAAGTACTGTCTACACCAGGTCACCCTGCCAAGTACTGTCTACACCAGGTCACCCTGCCAAGTACTGTCTACAACAGGTCACCCTGCCAAGTACTGTCTACACCAGGTCTCATCGAAGCTCAAAATTCAAAATGAAAATAATGACACGGACAAAATATTCAAACCTAAATTCAACCCAAAAATGACATTATCAATATTCATGAATTTAATCAACGATTTGACAATATTCCTGACCTCTACTTCCTTTTTGTAAATATTTTAATCCCTTCTTTTGAGTATGAAAACAAGGCACTTGTGCCAGATAGGCATATTCTTTTAATCTCATGATCATGCTTATAATCAATGGATCTTCCATTATCACCCTCCCTGGTCAGACAAGATAAGCTAGGAAACACACACCTGTGTACCTTCAGGCATGCCACCGGGGATTGTCATAGCAGCGGTTGAGGTGAGTTTATTAAATTTATTAGATAAACACGTACTAAGTATATATATATATATATATATATATATATATATACTATACACTACATATGTTAGCAACACTGAATCGACGTCTGGAATATTGAGTGTGTTAGCATTCTTATTACGATAGTACATTACCTCAAGAATCGTTACTTTTATTGACGGGTCATTGAGTAGGACTACCAGATAAGACGTACACCAGATTTTAGGTCTCATAACAATGCGGTTAGGTTTGGAATTATTTTTTTCCCAAATCAAAACATTTCCTTTATTGCAGGTCATTCTCATCCTTTGTGTAGGCCATAACAAAGGTATGTACATTCAACTGTTATGCGACCGAACAGAACTGTTCCTGTAAGCGTTGTTTTCTCGAAGTATTAAGCTTGGTAAGAGGGCAGTGATCTCGCCCGTTATGAAAACGGGATGGGTTTTAATCCTCATGGTGTAATGAGGCTGCCTCCGTGGTCCAGATGATAGAACGTCTTCCCGGTGAGGTTAATAATTGAGAAATCTATGTTATGTTGTATTTTCAGCAGCGTCGTCGTTGTATTGTCGCAGCTGCGTTGATGTCCACAGCCCTGCTTCCTGCACAAACATACGCTCATGTAAAGCTAATCAAGTAAGGAAATGTATGAGATTCATGATACATGAGAAGAAGAACTGGTTCATTAAAATCAGATCGTATGACGATACCCGTCTGCGTAATGATCTGACAACCCTCCGTAGAAGGTTGCATCAGGTGAACATCATTATCAATAAACAAAGTCTCGACTCCTAGATTTTTGTACGAGACAGCGGTTTACCACGGTGGTTCCAGCTTAGGAATAGCACTGATTCGAGTCGCAAGCGGTTTAAAAACCAACCCGCAGCTGTTACCTGGTTGATTAAGTGCCCACTCGTTGGAAAAGCCATCATGGCATTATTAACTGAGCATTATTACCAGACATGTTTTCATGAAGCAAGCCTTCGTGACATAAAAACACAACCACAAACTCACTTGGCTACACTTTCCGTTTGCATTATGTCATAATTCTAAGTTCCGCACATGAAATACGAATGAAATATTCCACATTTATTTTGCTTTTTGAAGCTAACGTTAGCTCTAAATGTTTGTTTACTAGATGTGTTCCACGCGGGAAATGAGGAGCCTCAACGGGGACGTCGTCTACACGCTTGGGTGCGACAACAGCGACGTGAGCAATTGAAACATTAATGTAGTTGGGTTGAACAAATTATGATAACAAAAAATAACTGAAGTGACAGATTGAAACATCTGGAATCATTCTAAATGTATGGGGGTAATAGCCTATGTTTGTGAAACGGTTAAATACGTTCATGCTCAGTTTTATTATTCATGTTGTATGAACCACGTTTCTCGTGTAGATCTTTTTTCACCTTAAACAATAATATTTGAACACACATTGTCGTGATGATGAGAATGACGACGACGACGATGATGACGACGATGACGATGATGATGATGATGATGATGATGATGATGATGACGACGACGACGACGACGACGACGATGATGATGATGATTATGATGATGTTGACGACGACGACGACGATGACGATGATGATGATGATATATCAGTGTATCACTGTTGAATGTACATTAGTGCTAGCTGGTACCACTGTCCATTATCTAGGTATGCAGCTCGCATGTTTTGGGTCCTGTCATCGGACGTCGTGCATCCTCTGGTTGTTTTCAATGCTGCGGAAGTAACGAATGCAATGCTGGACTATGTGCCCTTCAGCCACCGACAACCCCACACAGTAGCCTACCCATTGGTAATGCATACATATCAAACATACATCGTACAATACCCTTTATACACACAACACAGAGGCCTATCTCATGGTAATCCAAACATAAATTATCTAGCATACATTGTGTGTCCCAGTCTAAGGTGCCGCATTTCGTTGTGTACAGTTGCGTCCGTTGGGCGCGGCAGAAACCCCAATTATGTTTCTAGATATGTCAGCACCATACACGTGCTCGTGGATTTCACCAAAACCTTTGAAACCCGCATCACCTCGGGCTTTCCTCACACATCAAGCCTACACGCCGTTATAAAACTGGAATTCTGTCCAAAGCGGCGTTAAACCAAACTCACTCACTGACTAATATGCATTGTACAATACTCTTAATACACAATCCTAATATGGTAGTGGTAATGCAGACATACAGGAAATACAATACTCTAATACACTTAAGTGCCCACTGCAAATGAAAGCATCTCTAATACATTTTGCACAAAACTCTTCATTTACACAATAGCCCAACTACCTAAAATACACTATACAATACTCCAATACAATTAAGTACCTAGTGATAATGAAACTACAACTACTCTTAATATGCACAATCGCTTTTTCTGAAAGCCGTGCAAGTTAACACCATCTTTTTCAACTTATTCGAAGTAACCGTTCTCATCTGTGCTTAAACCTTGTTTCAAGATAATAAGCGAACGTTTCAAATATCAATTTAAAAAAACTTATCTCATGAGTGATTATAACGAAATGAGTTGTATATTTCTGCAGGTGTCGTTGATCATTGCAACCCGAACCATTGTGCCAACGGCGGAACCTGCGTAGAGAGGGTGGATGGGTTCGTGTGTGAGTGTGCGTCGGGGTACACCGGTATGAACTGCAATATCTCGGACCTGTGTGCCTCGGACCCGTGTCTGCATGGGGGCAAATGTCTGGATACCAAAACAAGGTAGTGATACAAACTACGGTAAAATACGTTTATAACGAACACGCTTATAACGAACTGACCGACATAGCGAACTTTATTTTTTAGTCTCGGCCATTTGTTGTATATAAGCTGTATAAATGCTTATAACGCTCTTCGGTTTTTACGAATAGTGTTCGAATAGTACGAATAGTTGAGTTCGTTATAACCGTAGTTTACTGTAAATAAGAATGACATCACTCTCACGTCAACAGATAATCAGAATCTTTTTTTTCTAAAATCACCGTAGGGAAGCGGTAGCTGATCAGATCCCAATGACCCCGATCAACAAAGCGATCTTATCGTTACATCTACCCGAAGCAAGGGAGTTAACTGACTATAAAAGTCCAGTTTCCATCCTTGCAGAACTATGCTGGTATCATGAAGTTACATTTCGGATGGACTTATTAGTCTATGAATAGTCCAATCAAAATCGTGAAACGAAAATCGCCATCCGGCTAAAAGGGTCATGCAGATTCACGTCGATTGCAGGATTTGCAAAACATGTGCACCGACAACTCGGCATCAACAGACATTTTCCAAATCTTTCATATATATAATTAAGGTGCACACATGAGTTGATGCACTTCGCAATGTAAGATCCGTTTTATCACACTATAGATCTTGATTATCGATCATATCCTCTTGACCGGGCGCGCCATTTTGTTTGAAGCAAATGCAACTTTTATGAGAGGCGGAATCTGATTGGTCAATAGGAGGGGCATGGGAGGGACATAACTCGTGATTGTCACTGGTGGCGCTACGATCGAGCCCAGAAATTCAAGCCAAGTTCGGCAAGGGTGGAAACATGATTTTTATAGTCAGTTAACTCCCTTGCCTCGGGAACATGTTATCGTTACGACTGTTTACTTAGCCACATTAAATAAATGGAGCTTCGACTATCGTACAGCTAAGATCGCTTTGCAGAACCCGGCCCTGGGTCCCGTTCCGCAAAGCGATCTTAGCGCTACGATTGTCGTAAGTCAGTGTGAAAGAATGGGAGCTACGATCAACTTAGAGCTAAGATTACTTTGTGGAACGTGGCCCTGCACATGACGATTGTCTTAAAAGCTCATTAGAACATATAGGTGTGTTTCAACGCGTCCAGGCATTATACAAGATGGATCGTTGGTCTTGAAATGAACCACATGACTGCTTAGTACTCCATAATATACTGGCTGCCGCGATAAAGCTTGGGTATCTTGACAACGTCGTTCAATAACAATTATCACTTACTTTTTTCTAAAACAACAACTACACAACACCCACTTTATAGTGTCATCTTGTAGTTAGAGAATTAAGCTTGATATTCAATGTTTCACACACAACAGGCTTCTGAGCAGGTTTTCTCGAACAAGGTTCGACTGTAACATCCAATCCCGTCGGGATGTTGGCTGTACTAAACAGTTATATACGCTGATGCACAGACAGGCATATCTCGGAAATGTATTAACAACAAACAAGACCTGAGAGTGTCGCTGTCTGATGGGATAGTATTGATATTAAAACCAAATAAAAGACGCCTGCGTGTCTTATTTGTGCATTAGGACATGGATATGTTGAACACTCTCTTTGACATAACGCGACCGCCTCCGTGGCCTAATGGTAGAGCGTCCGCCCGGAGAGCGGAAGGTCCGGGGTTCGATCCCCAGTCGCGTCATACCAAAAGACGTTAAAAGATGGTACTTGTTACCCTGTCTGGCGCTCGGCATTAAGGGGCACAACGAGGTTTGGTCGGCTCGGAGTCAGTATACTGTGTCTGAGTGGGATATTCATGTTAAACTGCGGCATGGTATCTCAGTGAGATGGCAGTATAAATGGGCATCAGTCCGGACTGGTACAAGCAGCCACACAAACACACACACGTACATGCACATCGCTATATAAGTGCAATAATCTTGGACGCGACGTTGAACCCCATTTCACCTCACCTCACCTTGACTTAACGCTGATGTGAAGTCGGCTACAGTCTGGTTACAGAAGGATTTTACTGGTTTGTATGTTCTAGACAGCATTGGATGAATGTAGCATATCTAAACTGAGAGGCAAAAGAAAGTGTGCCAAGTTTGGGTTTTATGTCTATTGATATTGAAATTGAAAGAACTGTCCAATTAACTATCACACATCCCCGCAACAGTTTGTAAAACGTAATCTTTGTCTGTGTAATTTTGTGTAAAATTAGTTTGGTTCAATGAAAACTGAGTGACGAAATGAATTTGCAACACCATGACTCCTTCCATTTTGAAATGTTGTCAACTTGTGCCGAAAAAAGAGCACATTTAGTGATTTTCAAAGATAAGATACACAGAAGTTGTGTATTATGATTTTTTTTAAATTTAACAAATTTTACATCAAGTTATGTTTTAAAAACTAAAACCATGTAAAGGTATTCTTTGACTGCTGACTAAGCGCCAGTACAGTCCACTTTTAAAATCGCTAACTTAGAAGATATTTTCATGGGATAAAAACAGTGGAGAAGTATAGTTTCCTTTGCCCCATTAGTTCATTTCTATAAAAACACTCGTCCGAGTGTCCCCCTTCCAAACAACGTCTAAATATCCTTCCCTGTATTTTAGCTTCTATTTAGTTGACCCTCATGCCTTTGCTTCGACGTCGTCTTTCTAGCTACGTCTGTGACTGCACTGGTACTGGCTACGACGGCTTTACGTGTCAGGTGCCCTACGATGACTGCCTGTCACAACCCTGTCTCCACGGCTCTACCTGTATTGACGGGTTTAAGGTATTCTTTCATCATCGTTAGCTTTTCAGAAATGTACTTTTGAATAAATACCGTTGATTAGTTTCTTCTCCGAAGGTTAGCTCAACGCTCCTTCAATGTTTGTTTCAAACGACACTGAAATTTCCTAATTGAAAATATATTTTTTTACGTGAGGGTATTGTACTGTTAAAGTCACTGCTTGCTTTATTACACAATTTTAATCAGATTTCCATCTTTGATCAGATCTCTGTTACAAGGAAATGAGTCAGTATTTCTGTCGTAATTGCATTTACAAATTTTCTTTCCAATTACAGAACTGGACTTGCAAGTGTGTTGCTGGCTTCGCCGGAAATAACTGTGAAGTAGAACTCAGCGCATGCGTATCCAACCCGTGTCTCCATGGAGGCACGTGCGTCGACACACATGCTGGGTCAAATCCAGGTCAAACAAGCCCGGGTTTTCACTGTCAATGCGTTGAGGGTATAGCGGGTACGTACACATTTCTTACTATATTTAAGACTAACAGGTCAAGCACGCGGGTTTCGATAAAATGACAGCACCCTAACCCAGAATAGCAAATGGTCGGTCCCCAAGAAGTGCAATTCGCAGTGCAGAAGACAGTGTCAGAAACCTATGATCATTATCATTCTTGGTTTGTCAGTACCAAATCCGGGGGCGCCAACAAAATGATGAAAGGTATTTCCTCCCTAAAAAGGACACGCAGCGACACAACTGAATTGCTGTTCAAAGCGGCGTACAGGTCATCAGAAACCATAAACTTACATAGACACAAGGACAATACACCCTTGTTAGACGCGTCCTGACTCACTGGAACATGTTACAGGTGATCGTTGTGAGACTCTCCACATAGACACATGGACAATACACCCATGTTAGACGCGTCCTGACTCACTGGAACATGTTACAGGTGATCGTTGTGAGACTCACCACATAGACACATGGACAATACACCCATGTTAGGCGCGTCCTGACTCACTGGAACATGTTACAGGTGATCGTTGTGACACCCTTGTTAGACGCGTCCTAACTCACTGGAACATGTTACAGGTGATCGTTGTGAGACTCACCACATAGACACATGGACAATACACCCATGTTAGACGCGTCCTGACTCACTGGAACATGTTACAGGTGATCGTTGTGAGACTCTCCACATAAACATATGGACAATACACCCGTGTTAGACGCGTCCTGACTCACTGGAACATGTTACAGGTGATCGTTGTGAGACTCTCCACATAAACATATGGACAATACACCCGTGTTAGACGCGTCCTGACTCACTGGAACATGTTACAGATGATCGTTGTGAGACTCTACACATAGACATATGGACAATACACCCATGTTAGACGCGTCCTGACTCACTGGAACATGTTACAGATGATCGTTTTGAGACTCTCCACATAAACATATGGACAATACACCCATGTTAGACGCGTCCTGACTCACTGGAACATGTTACAGATGATCGTTTTGAGACTCTCCACATAAACATATGGACAATACACCCATGTTAGACGCGTCCTGACTCACTGGAACATGTTACAGATGATCGTTGTGAGACTCTCCACATAAACATATGGACAATACACCCATGTTAGACGCGTCCTGACTCACTGGAACATGTTACAGGTGATCGTTGTGAGACTCTCCACATAGACACATGGACAATACACCCATGTTAGACGCGTCCTGACTCACTGGAACATGTTACAGGTGATCGTTGTGAGACTCTCTACATAGATACAAGGACAATACACCCTTGTTAGACGCGTCCTGACTCACTGGAACATGTTACAGGTGATCGTTGTGAGACTCTCTACATAGATACAAGGACAATACACCCTTGTTAGACGCGTCCTGACTCACTGGAACATGTTACAGGTGATCGTTGCGAGACTCTCCACATAGACACAAGGACAATACACCCTTGTTAGACGCGTCCTGACTCACTGGAACATGTTACAGGTGATCGTTGTGAGACTCTCTACATAGACACATGGACAATACACCCATGTTAGACGCGTCCTGACTCACTGGAACATGTTACAGGTGATCGTTGTGAGACTCTCTACATAGATACAAGGACAATACACCCTTGTTAGATGCGTCCTGACTCACTGGAACATGTTACAGGTGATCGTTGTGAGACTCTCTACATAGATACAAGGACAATACACCCTTGTTAGACGCGTCCTGACTCACTGGAACATGTTACAGGTGATCGTTGTGAGACTCTCCACATAGACACATGGACAATACACCCTTGTTAGACGCGTCCTAACTCACTGGAACATGTTACAGGTGATCGTTGTGAGACTCTCCACATAGACACATGGACAATACACCCATGTTAGACGCGTCATAACTCACTGGAATATGTTACAGGTGATCGTTGTGAGACTCTCCACATAGACACATGGACAATACACCCTTGTTAGACGCGTCCTGACTCACTGGAACATGTTACAGGTGATCGTTGTGAGACTCACCACATAGACACATGGACAATACACCCTTGTTAGACGCGTCCTAACTCACTGGAACATGTTACAGGTGATCGTTGCGAGACTCTCCACATAGACACATGGACAATACACCCATGTTAGACGCGTCCTAACTCACTGGAACATGTTACAGGTGATCGTTGCGAGACGAACTACGACGACTGCTGGGTGAAGCCATGTAAGCACGGCACCTGCGTGGATGGCATCAACTCCTACACTTGCGACTGTACCGGTAGTGGCTACTCTGGTGTACTCTGTGAACACAAGCTCACCAACCAGTAAGCATTTACAATAACAGAGACAAGGCGAAAGGGTAACCAGTCCGAATTTACAACAGGAGTTCTCTGAAGCACGTCTTTAAAACCAGGCCAGAAATAATTGCGAAATATTCGCCGTGAAATAACATCAACGCAAGAGAATAATTGACTGATTAGGAAAGAATTCGTTGAGGTACACTGCTGATTCGCTGATATTTCTCTTCAACAGGTGTTTGAATCATCCGTGCCAGAATGGCGGCACATGTATTCAAGATGGCGACGACTACCACTGCGAGTGTCTTGCCTTCAAAGAGGGGCTAATAACTCATGGGGGCAAAAATTGTTCTGTACTTTTGCGAGGTTGTGAGAATGTTCATGCCTGTCAAAACAAGGCTCTATGTGTTCCCGTTCTTCTGAATGAGGCTAAAAATATCAATGGCTACACCTGTTCCTGTGCACATGGCTTCATTGGTGCGGTATGTGACACGACCACAATCATGACGGTGTCGCCATCGACTTTCATCAGGAAGACCTACTCTTCTGGCTTCAACCTCACGATGAGATTCAGGACAGGACAGTCTAATGGGGTAAGTTGGTACTGGCAATTTAGAAGCAACTGAAAGCTACCAGATACGTGATACTGTATTTCATCGAATCAGCGGTTTCAATTGACAATAACAACCGAGTTGGTTTCCAGCATCACACTGCGCTACATTCCCTGTTATTTCGATGTAATTTGAAGTTACAACAATCCACCCGTGGATAGAGGAACTACCAAAACACGAGTGTATTTCACAAGTCGGCATCACCAATGGCACCAATTGCACCCCTTCCTTTCTGATCTGTTTCCTTATGCATATGAATCGGAATTTCTGCTTCGAGTGGCAAAATAACCAATACGGGAATTTGGCCAAAACGTTAAACCTAAGTTTCAGGTAAATCAATGACATGATATCGTTCAATATTGATCAAATAGCCAATTCCGATCCATTGATGTACCCGACTGTGCTAGACATAAAAGAGATAACCAGTGAAATCGCCTCATCTGTTTAAATATTTATATCTGTGCATAATGATTCAGGGTGACAACCAGACCATGCACAAGACTGTATGACAAGAGGGGTGACTTCAACTTTTCAAAAGTCATCCAAATGATGTCCGATGCAATTTCCTATTTTGACATCAGCCATAATTTCTGTTCTCGTGTTTGTTGACTTTTGTTTGTGATGGGTGCACCCGATGGACCAGGATACACCCACCCTTTCGTGAGACACCGATAACCTATTGATACTGATTCATGAAACCATGATTATTCATTCAATTTAATCCATTCAATATTCATGAGTGAGTTCGTGAGTGAGTGAGTTAGTGAGTGAGTTAGTAAGGTTTTACGCCGCTTTTAGCAATATTCTAGCAATATCACGGCGGGGAACAACAGAAATGGGCTTCACGCCCATGTCGAACCCGGCTCTTCGGTGTGACGAGGAAAGGCTTTATCCACTAGGCTACCCAACCGCCCCTCAATATTCATGAATACAGACATGTTTATGATATAGACGGGATCGTACAATGGCTTTCGCTTTGACCATAGAAGTCTTATGAGTGTGGAAAGGGTTTTGTTACTTTTCATTTGCAATATTTCGGGAACACGCCAAGAAATATCAAAATGCCAAATACAACGTTACTGCTTTTGCGAATAAATTCCCTTATTCCTCAATATCGCGGTATGTGTGTGCGTTCAGCTACAACACACACGTCCACTTTGTTAGGACCAGTCACATGTCTCATTAACAAATAATTATAATTATACTGAACAACATATCATATCCTCAAGTACGATAATTAGAAATATGTGATGGTACATATAATCCAATACTATATGTAAACACACACAATACATGCATATGTATACACACACTCAAACACACAAACACACACACACACACACACAAAGTACACACACACACATACACACACACACACAAACACAAACACACACACACACATACACATACACATACACATACACACACACACACACAACCACACACACAAAGCACACACACACAAAGCACACACACACAAAGCACACACACACAAACACACACACATACACATACACACACACACAAACACACACACAAAGCTCACACAAAGCACACACACACACACACACACAAAGCACAGACATATACACATGAAAGTTGGTAAGTGCTGATTTGTCCTTTCAGGTTTTGCTCTATAATCGGGTTGGAAACGCATTCGTCAGCGTTGAGATCGTCAATGGCTCACTGTATCTTGTGTCGGGCGATACCTTCGGCTACAATGACACCCAGGAAGCTCTGACGTCACTTCCGCTTGATGACTCGCAATGGCACAGCCTCAGTCTGGTGTACGATGGCAACACCACCCTATCCCTCATGGACCCTCTCTGTAACACGACTGACGATTGCATCTTATCCTCTACCGGTCCTACTTCCGCCAGTTCACTTAGAGAGCATTTCATTGGTCGGGTTCCTGTGACGCCATGGCGTCAGGGCACTGTGTCCAAACGCGATTTTGACGGATGTGTCGAAGATGTCATATTCAACTCTGATGTTATCATACCGGATAATTATGGTGTGGCGGAGTTCCATGGAATCAAGATGGATTGCCCAGCCTGTCTGCCAGGGACATGTGACGGTATTGGCAAGTGTTACCCTCGCGGAAATACAAGCTTCCAGTGCTGCGCGGGAATACACAACGGAGTATGTTTCAATGGTAGGTAGAACAATAATGAGCGAGCGAGCGATTGGTTGAGGAAGCGAGTTAAACCCCTTTGAAAAGAAAACACTTGGTAATTGGATTTGACCAAAAACATTTCAAACGTTATCACTACTTTCTCATGCCAGTGGTTATAACTTTGGTTATAACAACAGAGACAAACAATGGCTATTGATAAAGGCGAATCTTGAATTCTAACCCAGCTTATTAGGATCCTGGCACGAAAAGGGACAAAACTGTCCAAAGCGAATTGCGTCGTCATTGTTAGCTGTAATATTATTTCCCATTGGGAAGATAATAAATATGTCACAACAAAACAAAGATATATGTCAGCACACTATCAAACACTTCAATTGTTGGCCCAGTGAGAAATCAAGCGAAGTGAGCAGCCCGGCAAAGAAAGTATATTATCGAACAATGATGGTTGATAAATAGGAAACAAACTAGGAATTCCTATTCGACTGCTTTCAGACGGTACCGTTTGGATAACGTTTATAGGTTTTTGGTCAAATCCAAATTTCATGTGCCAAAACAATACTCTGTAAATAGTATGACACACCACCCCGTAGGATGGCCGGAATAGATTTTTCCCGAGCAAACTATGCTAGTTGTATGAGGCGACCAAATGTATCGGGTGGTCTGACTCGGTGACTTAAAGTTTGATGGAACACATGTCATCGTTCCCGGACGGCATGGTACGTTGCTCAACTATCAATCAATGGATTGTAAGGTCCAGACTCGACTATTTACAGGCCGCCATCATGTAGTTATAATATTCCTGGGGCGGCGTTAAGCTACACACCAAACTAAAACTTGACTAACTATTCCTTACTTCTTTGAGGTCTTGGATAATGTATCCGTCTAAATGCTGTCATGTTTATATCGGGGGGCACGGGGGGGATGGGGGGATGGGGGGGGGGGGGGGGGGGGGGGGGCAGTCGTCTAAGGCGCCGCGATTCGCTGTGCAGAGTTGCGTCCCTTGGACACCCAAGACACTTATGAGGTTATGGGTTCGAGTCCCGGTTCGCCCTATTTATGTTTCTAGGTTTGTAAGCACAATACCCGTGCTCGTGGGTTTCACCGAAGTGGTAAACCTCTGAGACCTGCATCACTTCGGGCTTTCCTCACACATTAAGCTGACACGCCGAGATATAACTGTAATACTGTTAGAAGCTGCGTTAAACCCAACTCACTCACTCATGTTTCTATCTTCCAGATAACGGAGTAACGTGTAACTTTGATGCTGGTCTCTGTGGTTGGGTCCAGTCAGGAAATGATGTCTTTGACTGGACCAGGTTTCAAGGAGCGACGGGTTCAACTGACACCGGGCCATCGGGTGATCACACATCGGGATCAGGTGTGTGTGGAAGCCCATTAGGGCCAAATAATGTTGTAATTTCAACACGGTATCTATCGAGAATTTTCAAAATAGTATATTGCAATTGAAATACCTTGAATTTCAAACATGGTATCTTGAACTAATTTTCAACGTGTCATTTTAATACTTTGTTTCCACCTTTATTGACAACAACCAAACCAACATTTATACGATTATTTTAATACTTTGAAATTTCAAAATATTACCTTGAAATATCAACAAGCTGTTTTAAACTTTCAAGACAAACATCAGTAATGATATGGCCTTTTTCGGCCACAGTAGGTGTGACAACATCATGAGTTGTTCACACTGAGGGTACTTCACACCATTTTGCCCGGGGAATAATCACACAACGAATTCAACTCACCGTCATGTTTATCAATAACCACAATCTGAAAACAACTGGATATTAAGATTCGAAGCGTTGTTAGTCGCCATCACCAGACTACGTTTATGCTCTGTGAATCCTAACTTAATGATAATACACATAAAGCAACGACGTTTCGCTGTATGGGGTTTGAATCGCTTGGGATCCGACAGAGAATGCAAACAGTACACATAGGCCACAAATACTACTTTCTGATTGGCTGACAATAGAATGGGAGGGACTTTTGTATTGCTCACTGTTATATAGAGGGGCGTGTTTTCGGAATGAGTGCTCTCCGTCCGTGGCGTTTCGAATCCCGATCATAACTCGGTAATTGTATACCTTTTTGTGTTTGGGTATTTCTAAAACAAATTTTCTTCGACTCAAATACGTGTAGCGTTCGTTTCCGGAGAATAACTCGTAAACCGAAAATATTTTATCATGAAACTTTGCACAGGTATCTAACACATGCTGAACTGGTGCCTTTCGCTGTTTCAAATTGGACTTAACCCAAATACAGTTTGCTTTCATTATCAGAGCATAACTTAAAAAAACAGATGGGGTGTAGTGATAATTTCTGGACTATAATATCTCCATATATACTCACACGCAAAAGAAACGCTAGTGGTTTTAAGCAAATAGGTAACAAACATGGAACCATAAATTGATACGAGTTTTAGCATGTAGTGAAGCCTGATGGTGTTATCAATATTTTGGCTTGCATTTTGGAAGCCCCGAGTAAAAACGCAACATCAAAAACGAATCGCCAAGACGCACCATTTCAATGAATATGTGGGTATCATCCACCAATTCCTCGCGAAATCGAAAATGCACGAACTGTCACGAACTGTAGTGGGTATAAAACTGTGGCCGATTCTTGGACCTACCACTCCTTGGTCAACAATGCCACGCCTAACGCAAATTCAGAGAAACCAGGCAATCGGACGTTTGGAAGCTGGAGAGTCATTTCAACGTTAACATAACCACAATTTACCGTCTCCTGCATCGATACAATGCTACACAGACCACAGGTGACCTTCCTCGGAGCGGTCGTCCTAGGGTCACCACACCTCGACAAGATCGGCAGATTACCCGTCAACACCAGCGACATCCGTTCCTAACTGCAAGTGAAAGTGCTCGACAGACCACAGGAACACAAAATCGACACATTAGCCGGGACACTGTGATCCGACGTCTCCGTTCCAACAACCTCAGATGTCGCCGACCAGCACGTCGTCCTGTTCTCTAACCACGGCATCGACAAGTACGACTTCAGTGGGCGCAGGGTCATCACAATTGGCGTCATCGTGAGTGGAGGCGTGTCATCTTCTCTGATGAAAGTCGTTTTTGTGTCTCCCATGCAGACGGAAGAGTCAGAATTTGGCGGCGTCGAGGTGATCGTTTCGCTGACAAAAACGTTGTGGAAAAGGATCCTTGGGGTGGACCTAGCGTCATGATATGGGCAGGGATTGGACTTAATGCGAGACTTGGACCTATGTGCTTTCTGAATGTTGGTCAAGGTCGGGAACACGGCGTCACTGCTCAGCGGTATATCGACCAAGTGATCACAACATCAACAACACATTTTCCAGCAGGACAACGCTCGTCCCCATGTTGCCAGAGCTACCATGGCCTTTCTGCAACAACACAACATCCGTGTTCTACCGTGGCCAGCCCTCAGCCCTGATCTGAACCCGATCGAACACTTGTGGGATTAGGTTCAAAGGCGTCTGCACAATTTAATGTGCGCCCAGTCCCTACAACTGCCGATGAACTACGCACAGCTGCTCTGGATGTGTGCAGAAGGATCCTTAGGGCCTTCACAAATCGTCTGATCCACTCAATGTACATGTACAGGAGGTGTGTGGCAGTGATCAGTACTAATGGTGGTCACACCAGGTATTGACTGACATTTTGAGTATTGACCCGAAACTGTGTAAGCCCTTAACATTTGAAAAAAAACAATTATGTCATCTGCCTTTTAATCCATTAAACTGTCTTCAGTCAAATTAATGTCAATCTTGCCCTATTAGTATTTCTTGTCTTTACTGTTGAAAATAAATAACATGTATACTGCATTCTACTTGCGTTTCTTTTGCGTGTGAGTATAGATTTCATGAAACTTTATTCCCATATTAAAAGAGTGCTGAAATTGTCATGCTATTTCGGATTTTCTACGAAACGATCTACGCAGGGTTGTCTGAGAACCGTGACCATAATTACGTGATTGACATGTATAGCACTTGCCAAACGAACATGTACTGGATATAAAGTGAATTATTGTTAAAAGAACACAATATACATGTCGCAACCGAACCAGTGTACTTCCTCGAAGTGGAGTTCAAAATATTTTGCTCCCTCCAATTAGGTCATTTACAGAAGCATCCAAAGTTTAAAAGTAAAGCCGTAATTATTTTTGCTAGAGTTTCCCTCCGTTTATCCAAGTGTATCCACTACTATATGAACAAACACAATTCTAATGTGCCCCATGGCGGGTAAAATGTATTACGTTGTTTTCTTGTTTTATACAGGGTTTTTTGAATGGATGATTAAATTAAATAAGCAGTCTGTGAAGTTATTATTATTGACGTATTTATTTTTAAGAAGTAATTTCAATATGTTTTTTTTTAGTTTATGGAGTTATAAAAGTAAACACTAGATAATTGATTTACGCAAAGTAAATTATGCTAACTTGTTGTTACCCTTTTCATGTTTATATTTCCATGCAAAACATATAATTGAAGTCAATTCTTAAACTGACAACAATCTGTTATCAGGATACTACATGTACACTGAAGCTTCGAGTCCAAGGTCCCAAGGAGATACTGCTTCTCTCCTCTCCCCACGTTTTGACGTCACCAGCAAAATGTGTCTACAGTTCTACGCACATATGGTAGGGAGTACGATGGGCTCCTTAGAGGTTTATGAAGAGGTACGATATTACTTAATGCTCCTTAGGAGTGAGTGAATGAGTGAGTATGGTTCTACGCCGCTTTTAGCAACAGTCCAGCAATATCACGGCAGGTGACACCAGAAATGGGCTTCACACATTGTACCCATGTCGGGAATCGAACCCGGGTCTTCGGCGTGACGAGCGAACGCTTTAACCACTAGGCTCCTTAGGACACTAAAACAGTTAAGGCTATTGTTTGATATGTTCTATTTAAGTGACATTTTCTGTCGCTATCAATCAAAATGTATTAATTAAAATACTACAATTAAAACTACAATCATTTATCTTTAAAACTCCAACCTCGATTTTTATATCCTTCCTACTCAATATTCTGAGGAAATCAAACTAAATATTTAAAAGTTAAAATATTTATTTTTTTCTTTTAAAATCCGTAAACCGAAAAGAAAGCCTCGTCTAGCCTTAATGATATATAGACTGTACACTTCATATCACCTTTTCTTCAGTACAACGGTCAGAGGACCACTTTATTCACGAAAAAAGGAAGCCAGTCTGGTCAGTGGTTCCCTGTTAGTATCAACCTGCTGCAAAAGACGAACGTGCTCATTGAGATCAAGGGCACCGTCGGCAACGGCTACTACAGCGACATGGCCATTGACGACGTTTTCCTCCTTCAGGGCACTTGCCCTTGAAACTCAAGTGAAATCTTGTTATGCCGAACTCGAAATAGCCTGTTATGTCGAAATTCCTGTAATATCCCTTCTGCACCAGTAACTTTATGTTTGCAAATCAAGTTTAAATTGTACTTGGATGTACAATGAATGCGTCATATTGGGAGCATTGAATACGTTTATTGTGCATCATGTTCAATAAAAGCATCAAAGCCAGGACGCTCTTCAGGCTCAGTTCATGGATCCTGGTTAGCTAAATCACGAGATGTTATATGATTGTTTGTTTGGGGTTTTTTGTTCAACGCCGCACTCGGCAATATTCCAGCTATAGGACGGCGGTCTGTATATAATCGAGTCTTGACCAGACGATCCAATGATTGATATCATAAGCATCGATCCACGCAATTGGGATACCATGACATGCATCAACCAATTAAGCGAGTCTGATCACCTGATTCCGTTCATCTCTTGCGACAAGCATAGTCGCCTTTTACGGCAAGCATGGGTTGCTGAAGTCATATTCTACCCCGGATCCTCACGGTCCGAAATATTATAAAGTTTCAGCGATAGCATGTCCCAAAATACCGATAAAAACACCGTGCGGTCTATTTCTTGGATATCTTTCCAGTAAATGTTTTCTCCCTCAAGTATTAATTGGTTAAGTCTGAGCTCTACTGCCAAGTAGACCCTTATTATCTTGTAAAGAGATACAAGTCATCCAATGTTCGTCAATATGGTCACATCAGATACAGAAGCGCACTTCCCGATCCAACGATGCCACAAACTAATTGCATATCACGTGACCCGACTTTTCTCTTTTCACTTTTCCACTTCCCAAATCAGAATGGATGCTTTTCAGAGCGATTTGCATATTGTTTGAAATAATTATAAATAAATACACTGAGAGTACACCCGAATCGAAAGCTATTCCAATAGGGCTTTGATATGTGCACATGGAATCGTACATCAATTTTAAACTACGGACACATACGCAATTGGAAATACTTTCTTTTAGAAAACTTTCTCAATGTTCCCCATTCCATGACATATGTTCATCTTAAAGACTTTTTAAAAATTAAACAGAAGACAAACATATTGTAATGTCCTGAATGGACTGTGTCAGTCTCGCTGACCTGTGGCAGAGGTACTACGTTGACCGCAAGGAACTCTGGGCAGGAGAGTTTAAGGTCATGCGCCAATATGCACATCTTCTTAAATTTTGCGTTAACTTGTCTTTCAGTCGTCTGCCACTATTTCGTAAGAACAGGTCCCGTTTTAATTCTGGAAACCCAATAGTCCAGAAACTCTACGGTCTTTGCTGGTCAAAGGTATTTACAAAATTAAACACACTGTTTTTCATGGGAACATACCAAGGAAGAAACAATGAAAAAATGATCAAAAACTCAACAGTTACACTATGTCGCCCATGGGCAAGTGTGGCCCGTGGGCGAAAAGTGGCCCATGGGCGAGAGTATATACATTGTATGTTCCTTTACTTAAAACTCACGTTATTATTTCGCAAATACATAAATGTATTTCTTTCAAGTATCATGACACAAAATTTGACTCATTTTAACTTAATTCAACGATTTTATACCGTTATTGAAATATTTCGCCAATGGGCGTTTTACTTTCATTGAAAGCAACGGAAGTAACTCCAAGTTAACATATCGATTTTTGGGTTAAACCAAAAAAGTAAATAGATTGTCTGGTCAAGAATCTGTTTACCGGCGGCCGTTGTATGGTATGAGTATTGCTGTTCGGTGTCAGGCAACACACAAACACTTACTTTTTTCATGAAAATTGTATGATCGGCCGGTGCTAGCTTTTCCCGAAAACCTGGTGTCATGACAGATTGACAAGTTCGATCCCCGGCCGCGTCATACCAAAAGACGTTAAAAGATGGTATTTGTTGTTACCCTGTCTGACGATCGGCATTAAGGGGATAAAACAAGGACTGGTCGGCTTCGAGTCAGTATACTGTGTCTCAGTGAGGTATTCATGTTAAACTGCGTCATAATATCTCAGTGAGCTAGCACTATAAATCGGCATAAGTCCAGACTAGTACAAGCAGCCACACAAACACACACACGTACATGCACGTCGCTATATACACGTAAGTGCAATAATCCTGGACGCGACGTTAAACTCCATTTCACCTCACCTTTCACACTCATTGGAATCTTTTTCGGCAGACAACTGAGATTGATTACTCTCTGGCGCTGACATTCTATAATTAGTACCCTGTGAACCACACGTTTCGACATATATCATTATTTGGCCAAGATTGGCTGAGACGAAATATCGAATACGACGACGTTCGGGGTTGGCCCGATTATGTTTCTGGGTTTGTCAGCACAATACCTGTACTCGTGGGTTTCATGAAAGTGGTAAACTCTTGACACATGCATCACGTCGGGCTTTCCTCCCACATTAAGCTGACACGCCATGGTAAATCTGGAACACTGTCCAAAGCGGCATTAAACCAAGCGATCTCACTCACTGAAGAATATATCGATAAATGTGAGATTGTCCAGACACGTTGCAGTTGACAATGTTATACTGAAGAAGAGCATGGACTATGTAAACGCCGAATCAGGCTGCCAGTTGCATGTTATATTCATAGATATATCAATCGTGTGCGTCTAACTCAAACATTGTACGGTTCTAATCGTCAATATCAACACTATTGTCGGAATCCGGTTTCCAATTTGATATGGCATGAGACAATGATTTAATAATTCATCAGGGTAACTTGTCTCTCGTCCCACGAGACGTACCGTGCAGACCTTACCGACAACAAAATCGTTCAATTACAGGCGTGTTGGGTTTCTAGACTGGAAGATCTGTCTGGGATAGTTGAACAGATTAGTGGGTAAAATACACTATATTATTTATTATTCGATAAATCTGTCTTTGAGAGTTATTCCTATACTTCCATAATCTGACCATAATGCAACATCGCTGCTTGATTCACCTAACACGTATGAATGCACATGTATCTCGCAGATTGCACACCAACACTTTGGGAACGCCAAACTCATAAATTGAGAAATTCTGCTGTTCGTACCGGGAGTGCCAAATCGTGAGAGCCGTGAATGCGTACCGTTTCATTATATAAACTATGCATACCGTAATAGATGTAGAAATACACTTCATGAGGGGAAACGGGTGGCCGAGTCGTCTAAGGCGCCGCGATTTGCTGTGCAGAGTTGCGTCCCTTGAGCACGCCAGAAACCTATGATTGTGGGTTCGAATCGAATATTCGAATATTCGCCCCGAATATGTTTCTAGGTTTGTCAGCACCATAACCGTGCTCCTCTTAAATATCAATTTTGGCACTCCGAAAAGACTCCAATGAAATAGTTCGATTTTTAATCATAACTTGCGAATACTCAAATGAGACTGTTTTCGATTAGATGTTGCATTGAGTCACCTTTCAAACATAAGCGTAAAGAACCTCAATTCTATTCGCATTGATGTTTGAATCATCTTTTTCGATACCGATCGACTGCGCATATTTCAGCCGCACGTCAAACATCTGCTACCAATCAGGTAGTCACAGCGTCGATTGAGCGCCACCTCTTTACGTCAACGTCGTGGCGACGTAGTCTTACAGGAAGTAATTGAATTTCACATGACTGTGTAAATGTCGATCAGCATGCTTTCATAAGCAATATCAATTCTGCAAAGAGTCCCTCTAACTACCATCTTATTCATGACAATAACTTCAACCTAGTTGGAGGGCACGTGTGGCCTAGTCGTCTGAAGCGCCGCAATTTTCTGTGCAGAGTTATGTTCCGTAGGCGTGCCAGAACGCGGCGGTTTGAATCCAAGATTCGTCCATTTAATGGTTCTGGGTTTGTCAGCACCATACTCGTTTTCGTGGGTTTCCTACCTACGTTGTACATTACTTCGGGCTTTCTTCCATATCAAGCTGGACCGCTGTGATATAACACCCAACACTAATACGGTCGCCACTGACGTCATTAGATCCATACGGGTCCCGGATTAGGATTGTCCTCAAACACTCCTTAGTTTGTCGTAAGATGTGACTTACCAAGGGTGGCTGAAACATTCTAAGCCTAGCTACGTAGGTTGTATAGTACACACTTAAAAGCTTGGTTGTGTTACGAACAATACACCCTATACTTACAGGCTACATCTGAACCAATATTGTTGCAGGAATAAAAGAGACTTGGTATTCCCTGTTAATGAAAATGTTTGTTTGTTTGTTTGTTGCATAACGCCGCACTCAGCAATATTCCAGCTATATGGATAAATAATCGAGTGTGGACCAGACAATCCAGTGATCGACATCATGAGCATCGATCCACACAATTGGGATCGATGACATGCATCAACCATGTCAGCGAGCCTGACCACCCGATCCCGTTAGTCGCATTTTACGACAAGCATAGTCGCCTTTTACGGTTAGCATGGGTAGCTGAGGACCTATCCTACCCTGGATCTTCAAGGGTCTGATGAAAATGAAGAAAAGTGGCTACCAGTATCATCCCTAGAATCTCCGTCGGGAAATTCAAACAGCCAGCCAGCAATGTCTCAGCGCCCTGGGGAGTATACAATTCCTGGGTAGTATACTATTGAACAATTTCGTGTTGGAGGGTACCTTGTATCTCACAAAGTAACAAAATTTGTCCGTGATTATAGATAGCCAAGAGCGCTAGCTCCATTTAGTTAGACGTCGCCTCCCAGCAGACCAGTAAAATATTCATTACATCCACCACTCTAAAATTAGCCTTGTGCTAAAGATTTACATTATTGAGGTGTATTGACCCTTGACTGGGACTTGAGTTGTACAGTGACCCGTAAGTTCACAACAACGGCGAAGACTTCGCAAACGTGAGCTAAATCAATAAAGAAAGTCTCGGAGTGTGAACCAATCTTCCAGCATTCAATTAAAGACAAAGAATATAATTTAAGACCAATATTTGGACAGCCTACTTCGTGAAAAAAAACGCCTAAAGAACACTTTCTAGAACTGTAATTGTATTGGTAGATTAGTGGTAGATTGCGGAGAAGATCCGGGTTAGAATAGGTCTTCAGCAATCCTTGCTTGTCGTTAGAGTCGACTATCGGGATCGGGTGATCAGGCTCGCTGACTAGGTTAATGCACGGCATCGTGCTCATGCTCCTTGCTCATGCTCTTGCTCATGCTCCTCACCACCATCTGATTCCCAATATCTCCCTACTGTGGTGACACCATCTGATTCCCATTACCTCCCGACTGTGGTGACTCCATCTGATTCC